GTGGATAGATGATAGAAAGATAAATGATAGATAGACGATAGATATAGATAGATAGATAGATGATAGATGAGATAGATGATAGATGAGATAGATGATAGATGATTGATATATACATAGATAGATAGATAGATAGATAGATAGATAGATAATATATAGATAGATAGATGGATAGATAGATAGATGATAGAAGATTGATAGATGATAGATAATAGATAGATGATAGATAGATAAATAGATGATAGATGATAGATAGATAGATAGATAGATAGATAGATAGATAGATAGAAGATTGGTAGATGATACATAATAGATAGATAGATGATAGATAGATAGATAGATAGATAGATAGATAGATAGATAGATAGATAGATAGATAGATAGATAGATAGATAGATAGATAGATAGATAGATAGATAGATAGATAGATAGATAGATAGATAAAGCTAGGAGTTTTGGCTTAGTCTGAAGTCCCCAGAAAGCAGAGAACTAAGACAGTTTGCATTCAGCTCATTCATTTTGAGCACTGATGGCAGCAACCACAGTGGGGAATCCAGTAAGTGAAACACAGCAGGGAAGGAAGCCAACACCATGGTGTGAAGCCAATTGGTCACCACTGTGGACAGCTGGGGTTGATGCCAGAGGCACCATCTGCAAACCATGTGGAATGAGCCTCGGGCCATATGGAAAAGAGGAACATTTTGGTACCCTGCCCCTGTGAATATACACAGGCTACAAGCCAAAGACTCAGCAGATCCCTCAGGATCCCACATGGAGCCACAGGCATCTGGAAAACTCCAGGGTGGTATGTCAGAGGGGCTTGGCATACCATGTGATGCAAGGTGACCCTTTGCAGAGCTGAGTATTCTGGCTAAAGTTGGAGCTCATGGTGGGAAAGATGTCAGGAGGATTGGGGCAGTTTAAATGATCTAGTCATGGAATGCCAAGGACACAGGCTAGAGCAACTGAAAGAGTCGGAGTATGAGCTGGGGATATGGTTCAGTGGGTAGAGTGCCTATCTGGTATACACAAGGCCCTGGATTCAACCCCCAGTACTCCATAGACCAGGTACAGTGGCACATGCCTGTAGGCCCATCACTTGAGTTCAAAGTCATAGCTACAAGGTGAGTTCAAGTCCAGCTTAGGCTACATGATGCCCTGCCTCAAAAGGAAAAAAAGAGAGTAAGAGTGAAGAGAAAATACTTACCTTCCATTTGCAGGTCCTTTGAAAGAGAGCACTTCCCCAGCCTTCCTAAGGGGAAAAATGTTTTCTGAGAGATTTTAAAATATGCTACTTAAGGAAGCCTCTAAAAAGAAAATCAAAATAGGAGAAAGGGGAAAAGCTACCAATTTTCTTTTAAAACAATCTCACTGACAAAGAAAGCAACTCAATTTGGTGTAAGGCCCCTAGCATCCTCTCAGTCTAGTGTACACT